TGGATCTCCATGCTGGTTTTGTACCTTATTCACTGCACCTCTACGCTGAAAGCTATGCTCTCTCATTAGTAGGAAAACAGTGCCTTCATCCCCAAGCTTTATCTCTGAAGCGTGAATGGACAGATGAGTCTCTTCATATATATCAGGCATAGATAAGCACCAGCTTAGTCCAACAGGCCTGTGCATGGATGGCCGATAGCTAGAATATCTACAAAAAAAAAAAAAAAGAGTTTTAGTGGAAGCAGGAAACCTCATGCTTCAGCTCTAACACAGTCTCCAAAGGCGTAAGGAAAAATGCTATCCCAGGCATAGATTAGCCTACAACTGCCAACTGGAGACTTCTTGCACCGTCTTCTGAAGCACCCAGGTTTGGCTATTGTCAGAAAGGGGATCCCAGGGAAAGCAGATTCTGTGCCAGAGACATTCTGGCCATTTTAAGCCTCCTGAAAATAGGTATAGGGATTCAGTTTGCATATGTAAATATATCATCTAGTGTATCTGTAATATATTTATGACTGTATAAAGCACCCTTGGCGCTAATGCAAAACCCAACATAAACTGCAAGCAGCTACACCGACTTTTGCACTACTTCAGCCAGAGAAGATTAAGGCAGTTCTGTGGCAGAGCTGGAGCATTAAATTAGGCTTCTGCACAGTTCTGGTGCTGGGTGTGATTCATCTCCCACATGTCTGCAGCTCAAGGCCAACTACTACCTATATTTAATACCAAGTGTCTACTCTGTACAACACATTCATGTTTGGCTTCCAGGTATAGAATGGGCTCTCAGACTAGCTCAACACTGAAAAAGACATAAGTTGCATAAGAAACAATATTACATAAAAATTGGTTATGCTTAGATTAGGAAACACTAGAGAAGGAAACGTGCTTCAGAGAAAGCATGAAACCTCGTATTTCAGTATCTAAGGCAGCCTCTTAAAGGTTAAAAAGTGACCGCACTGGAGGAGCAGGGAATCTCAAAGATCATTTTGCTATAGAGAGGACTTCAGTGATGAAAATGAATGTCCTGCCACATCATCATGCCATTAAACACCAGATTAGATACATGAACAGTTCTGTTCCCTCTCATTTATTAGCTGAGAATGGTTCTGCAAAATTACGCAGAAAATTCTTCTCATACATCAAAGCTATGTGAAGTTCCTGGTATATCTGGCCATTAGAACATTCCTAGTAAGACTTCTACTCCGGAAATGATCAGCAGAACCAGCCAGCAGAGCCAGAGCCAGCCAAAAATCCCCAACATCTTCCACTGTGGTGTTCATTACTTAAAATCTTTCCCTGGCAAAGTGGAAAAGGATGGATTGTAATTCTGCTTCGAATTGATTTATTTTACTGTTCTTTTTCAGTACAAACTGGGACATGTTCAAATATTTCAGTACTTGCATTTTCACTTTTTCTTTACTTTTGTCCTTCCTTCCCCTCCTCACCCCTTTCCATTTTCTCTCACTCGGTGGAGTAGGAATCATGTTGGGCAGGTTTTAAAGAAACAACTTGAATTTTTCGTTTTCTCCTCCCATCAGGTTTTTAAAGTTAAAAAGATTTTGTAACCGCTAGTTGCAAAAAATTTAACCAGTCTTCAATTTTGATCTTTCCTTTCCCTGAATTCTATTTCTACTAAATAAAAAAACAAGATGAAAAGCAGCAAAATTTCAAAATCGCAGTTTTCTAAATTTAGAATAGAGATACTCGGAATAGAGTATTATTCAGTAGCTTCACTCATTCCTTGGCTGAATCAGCAGGCAGCACCATGCAGGACCAGAAGGGAGAGTGGTCTTGAGCAGGCTTAGAGTTCCCAAAAGATTGTGACAAATTGGAGGAATGGTTTGGAAAACCTTGGATGGTGGAGGTGGACACAGAAGGCTACAGTTAGGCAAGGAAAATTAACTACAAAGATAAGAGATAGGCGACATGGGTGAAGTTTCAGTTCTACAGAAAAAGACTGAGAGTTTTTAGTGGACCACAGGCAACCAGGAGTCATTGTAGGGCTACTGTGAGAAAAGGCAATGGCACAGTAGGCTGTGAAAAAACAAGAAAATGGGGAAAGTAAGTCTTCGGTACTATGTAAGGCCTCTGATGGCGTGTACTATCTTGCTTTAAGAGCACTGCAAGAGTGACGTGAACTCATCAGAGACACTCCAGAGGGAGCAGGGAGGTTTAGGAAGTAGGGTCTAAGAGGGGAGATAAAAGAACAGTGAATCTTCTGTCTGGAGAGCTGATGACCTGAGGATGGAGGGAGGGAAGGAAGGGAGACAGGACCACATGTTAAAGGTTACTGTAGAGGGGAAAAGTCTAAGCTGTCCAAGTTAACAGTGGCTAGAGAAGGAAGTTGTGGGCTTCCTCTGCTGTAGTGGAGTCGGATGTTGTGCAGAAGGAAAAAGCTTTCTAGCAGCAAAGGCAGTGAAACACTGGGATGTGTTACTTCAGGAAGGATGAGGTTTAGCTGCAGAGGGTTGTTAACCACAGGACACTCAAGTCTATCTGGGAAGGACGTGGGTGGATGGTTTTGAGTAATGCTCTGGGCCAGATGGTCTCTTGAGGCATCAGTCATAATTTTTTCTGTCCTATTTGATAACCTTTGCTACTATGATACCTGACGTCCTGCTGGAAAGCTCTAAGCAAAGTAGCTAAGAGACGTTTTCTTTGCTAATTTTATTTTTATTATTCTGACAGGGTTTTCTTTAAATATGTTCATGGCTCCAGATTCACATTAGATGATGTGAAGGGAAGAAGTGCATCTCATGCTTTTACAGCAGTTCGGGAGATTGAGGTGGGCCTAACTTCCCAGTTAGGGGAAACTGGAAAGTCTTCCAGTGTTTTTACTGAACTCTCGGGAAGTTCTGGTCTTGTCAGAAGTGAGTTTTGTCTCTAGCAGGGAGTTCTCTGGTGTGCAAGGGATGGAGCTATCAACCCTGGTCCTTTTCTGGAGCTCAAGGTGAATTTTTGGAGAACCTGTTAGCACCAGACATGGAGTGCCTTGTATTTTTCCTTGGAAAGCCATCACAGGCATGGAAGAATGGTTGGGTAGGCTTGTATAGTTCATTTGGCTGAAGTGACCTGCTGCCCTGTGTGAAAATAGATGGGCTTCTGCCCAGTTGAACTTTACTACTGTTGTTCAGACACTTCAACAGGACTCCTGTCAAGAGCAGAGCAAATAATTCATCTTTAACTAAATAGATAGAGCTCTTATTTTCTCTCCACCAGAGCTAGCCTGAATGTATACCACATGTCAATAAGGTCTACTTTCCATTACCCACTTCCTGGGCCCCACAGGACTGCTCATTGCAGAAAGGCAATTTTGCATGTAACGACTCAGTAACTACCTCTGTGAGCCCAACTGAAACATCCAAGTCTCCAAGCCAGCAGGACTGAGAGCAGCCCTTGGTCACAAGTCTGACCAGAGACTGAGCGTTGCCTACATGATGGAGGGTGCCCAGGTCACCTCTGTCACCCAGTATGCTGGCACTTGCATCCTGTGCCCTTGCACAGTAGCCCAGAAGAGAGGCTGGACTCCCCAGATGACTGTTGAGTTTAAAATAAGACCTGCTGGTTGCTAGATGCCTCATTCTCCTGTTCTCAAGGACAGAAGGTCTGGCTCTGGGGAGCAGCAGAGAAAAACTCACATTCCCATGCCCCAGCTACACCTCTTTATGCTTCACTGCCTAAAGGCTGATTTGAATGAGCTTTTGCATGGCGCTCTGAGGGCAGGAAGGAAAAACATAAGATGGAGGCAATTTTCCCTTCTCACTGTTGATGAATTAAAAACTATTATTATAAAATGAATAGTGAATATGAAATTCAGCCAGTTGAAAAATTATAGCATTTGCCTGGTGTTGGTGGTTCATCCGTCTGATTTCTAGCAGTAACTCGCTAGACCTGTGGCACGTCCTTTCATGCCACAAGAAAGCTTGAAAGCCGAGGGAGGAATATACATCCTGTGTTTAATACTGCTAGTGATCCGTGGCATGACTCTGAGCTAGTGGCATGAGAAAAAGCCTGCTCCACCTTCATCAGGGAATCATCCCTTTGCCCTCCTTTAGGCTCCCTGGCCTCAGTGCTTCTCTCAGTGAGAGCTGGGGCTGTGCCTGTGAGAGGAGAGGCACAGTGGTGACCTTCAGTGGTACCTGGCTTCTCAAAGAGCTTTCCATGTAAATGTCTGTTGCAGGGGAGGAGGCCTGTAGCTAGTGGTGTCCCCCAGGGGTCAGTCCTGGGTCCAGTCTTGTTCAATATATTCATCAATGACCTGGAGGAAGGGACAGAGTGCACCCTCAGCAAGTTTGCTGATGCTACTAAACTGGGAGGAGTGGCTGACACACCCAAAGGCTGTGCTGCCATTCCGAGGGACCTGGACGGGCTGGAGAGGTGGGCAGAGAGGAACCTCCTGAAGTTCAACAAAGGCAAGTGCAAGGTCCTGCACCTAGGCAGGAATAACCCCAGGCACCAGTACAGGCTGGGGTCTGACCTGCTGGAAAGCAGCTCTGCACAGAAGGACCTGGGAGTCGTGGTGGACAAGAAGTTGACCGTGAGCCAGCAGTGTGGCCTTGTGGCCAAGAAGGCCAAGGGTGTGCTGGGGTGCCTTAGGCAGAGTGTTGCCAGCAGGTGGAGGGAGGTGATCCTGCCCCTCT